CTTGCATTAAAATTGCACTTTATCTCAAAAGATATTGCGGAATTACATCAAGATATTTTAATTACTGCAATAATATTATGGTACTTCCGTTTGGTTGCCGTCGATTATCGCGAGCATTGGTCCGCCGAATACGAAAAATCCTATGCATGGTTAAGCTCACAGGTGGCAAATAAAGACATTGAGTTGAAACTTATGGAATCTGCAAGATCATTTGTTGAGCAAAATTACAATGTCGAAGAAGAAGCTAAAGAGTTAGACTACGATTATCAAGGTAAGTTAACAAAAAATGATTCTTTTTACATCTTTTTATTGATAAATTGTAATAATTTTAAATTTACGTAGAGGGTATAGTTAAACCAAAAGAAAGGGAAGAAGAAATCTTTGCAGAAAAAATAGTCGAACAAAAAGAAGAGGATGGAACCGTTACAAAAGATACGAAGTCGTGGACTAAGAAAGCACTTTCTACTATTTTTGGAAAACCACATACATCTAACAGGAGCCTTGAAACGCATATTGAAAATGCAATCTTTTCTGATGTTGGTGACCACGATCATCATGAAAAAGAGGTCGCCTTAACTACTGCTCGATCAAATGTTACTGTCGAAAAAATCAAATTCATTATAACAAAACAAAAAAACAATGGATGCTTTGACCTAAGCGAAACTCTTATCAAAGAGTTAGATGTTCCTGCAAAAGAGGTCGTGGCAGATGTTCAAACATACACCACAAATGAAAAATTAAAGAAACCCGAATCAACATATTGGTGGACAACAGCGTTAACTCTTAGTTATCTCAAGAATGCCGCATCTCAACATGAAGGAGAATGGAGGGATAAGTATAATAAAGCACGAGAATACCTTACGGTACAGATTGGCGATGCGGAAGCCGAAAAAGAGTTAATCGAGATTTCAGAAAAATATGTAATTAAGAAAGTCATTAGAAAGGTTACCGTAGAGAAAAAGAGAACAGCCATAGTTACAATTCGGGAATCAACCACTCCAGAAGTTATTAAATCCGTTGTTTCTAAACAAGGGGACGATGGTGCATTCGAAATTAACGAAATAGTTACAAAAGAACTTGATGTTTCCTCATCTGAAGATCTTATATCTTTGGCTCAAAGCACAACATCTAGCGATGCTATTAAATCATCTGATTCATCTGTATGGAAGACTGCTCTTATGATTGGATATCTTCAGACAGTTGCTCCTCATCATGAACACATCTGGAAAGAAAAATATAACAGAGCCCGAGAGTATCTTCACAGCAAACTTAATAATCCAGAATTAGAAGAAGAGATTATCAGTGTCTCTACTAAGGTTGTTGTTAAAAAGACGACCGAAAAGGTGGTAAAAGAACAAAGAAAGACTGCAGTAGAGGTCATTCAATCGGCTACAACACCGGAGGCCCTTCATTCTGTCACGTCCGAACAGAAAGAAGATGGTTGTATCCATCTAAGTGAGACCACACAAAAAGCATTAAATCTTCCATCAACCGAAACTCTAGTAACAACCGTGCAAAAATATACTACCAATGAAAAACTGAAGAAACCCGAATCAACATCTTGGTGGACAACTGCCGTAAATCTTAGTTATCTAAAAAATGCAGCTTCTCAACATGAAGGAGAATGGAAGGAAAAATATAATAAAGCTCGAGAATATCTCTCTTCTCAAATTGGAGATGCCGATACAGAAAAGGAATTATTAGAAATCACCGATAAGTATGTAGTTGATAAGATAACACATAAAGTCATCGAAGATCACAATCAAGAAATAATTGCTATTGAAAAGGAAAAGAAGGAAAAGAGAGATAGCATTCTTGGAAATATTACTGGTGGTTTAACGACCATATATAAAACTACCACAGATACCGTTAAAGATCTTGGAAAACACGTAGAACAAGCTCTTACTTTCGATACAGACGATCATGATCATCAAGAGAAAGCTGCCGCCTTAATAGTTGTTCAATCTAATACCACGCCCGAAAAAACCAAATCGATTGTTACAAAACAAAAAAATAATGGATGCTTTGAATTAAGCGAAACAGTAGTTAAAGAATTAGATGTTCCTGCAAAAGAAGTTGTAACTACTGTTCAGACGTACACCACAAATGAAAAATTAAAGAAACCCGAATCAACATCTTGGTGGACAACAGCATTAACTCTTAG